TTTATGATTTAGGGTTTGGGTGAAAACTTTTGGAGACTGTTGATATATATTTTATTTTTGCAACTTGAATTATTAATTAGCATATATGATTTTTGAAGTTGGACAATGTGTTTGATTTGGTATTTATTTATATTTTGTACTTCTTTATGTTATATTTACTTGTAATGTGGCCATGTTTGATTTATAAAATTTTATTTACATTTTTCTTTCAAGCGAAAAAAAGGCTTATAATATATCTCCTCTATAAAAAAAAATATTTAGCCTACCCCTGTAAAAATTATTGGGTCCACCCTTGTTTGTTATCCTTTGTACTATTTTATGGTGCTTCTATTTTATACAAGCATATGCTCCAACTAAAAAAAAGTAAGCCTTTTCCCAAAACAAAAAAAAAACTGAAGTTTTTATTAAAATGACGTAGTTTTTTTCCAAATTTTTTCTAAGTAATATTGTTTTTCCAATAATGAATCTCGGATTCCATCTGCAGCAACAGGACCAACCGAATATATTATCCCAATGGACATTTTGCAGCCTCTTTCCCCGTGTCCCCCAAGACCTAGTAAGCTTTTTTCATCTTTTTTAAAGATTACACAATTGTTTTTGTCTCTAACATTTGAGTTTCAGATAGTTTTGTTATCCTTTGTACTATTTTATGGTGCTTCTATTTTATACAAGCATCTGCTTCAACTAAAAAAAAGTAAGCCTTTTCCACACAAAAAAACTGACGTTTTTATTTTTTCATAAATTTCTTGGCATTTAACTTGATCATCTAACTAAAAAATATCAGGATTGACTTCTTAGAGCATCCACAATCATGCTCTCTATTTTTTAGTTAAAATTTAGCTAAAAACACTATAAAGCTATTTTAGGAGCTCTCTATAAAACAATAAAAAATAATTAGTATTAAATAAATGCTTAAAATAATATTAAAATATAGGAGCATTTAATTATAGGGACTCACCAGGATTCCTTCAGATTTAGGAGCTCATAGAGGTTTCCTTATTTTAGAAACTGTGTAAGGAGCATGGTTGGAGGTTGGAGGTGGGTTTTTTCAATTCATCCCTAAATTTTAGCCAAGGAGGTGGTTTAGGGAGCCTATTGTGAATGCTCTAACTATACAAAAATAGATTTTCATTATAAAATAAGATGGTATTTTGATGAAACTTATGTGTTAGATTAAGTTTTGATGGTGTTATGGTTCTTCATTACTTACATTATTATCAATTAGCCTCCTAACATGCATTCATGAGCTTATTAGTAGGCTTTTATTTTTTATTTTTTTATATTTCAGCATTATTTATAGAGAATTTCGGTTAGACATGAAATCTTATTTTCGTTGTTTCATATTATAAAGGAATATTATTTAACATTTTTGTCTTTTTTGTTGTTTTATTTTTATAACCTTTTCTATTGAGAAGAATGATAATATACTAAACTATCACAAACAACACGAATGCTAGGACTTGAACCTAAAATCTTTCCTAGAGGAACAATTACTCCAAACTACTATATTAATGGGTCATTTCCACATTTTTGTCTTTTTAAAATGAAGTAGTTGTAGCTTAATAATATTGAAAAACAACATTATAATGAATATGAGATTCTATCTCCAGCGAATGTTGGAAGCAAATGGTAATCCAACCGGATCAACCCCATCTACTATCGAATGGGATTTGTATCCATTCGCTTCCTACGAGTGTCCCAGACAAGTAAGCCTCTTCTAGAGAAGGTTACTTAAAAAGGTTCTTGAATTATAATAAGTCCCTGGAATTTTTTTAAATGACCCACTAATCTTTAGTTATTTTATTTATTTACTTATTTTTAACAACAGGCATTCAAAATAAAGTGTTCTAGTGACTTCAAATACATTCAATACACAATATATTTTAGTATTTTAATCACCATTTGATCTAATATACTTGTGGCTCTCACTTTGTTGGTGAAGGTCATGAGCCTAGAACTCATGTAAAAGAGTTATTTGTGCTGTTTAATATATATAAAATTCCTACTTTTATCCAAATAGGATAATATATTTGAAACAACGAGTGGTGCTGTTTGTATGATATTTATGACTACATTGTTGACTACCTCTCTAATACTACAGATGGATCCCATATATATTAATCAGCAAAGCGGTCAATAAATGTGGTACAAATAGTATTATGGGAGTTTCTCCAATAAGTATTTTATGTGAAGGATTGGTTACGTACTTCTAATATTGGTCGTTGGATTGCATTCATTAAAAGTGTTGGTAGTCTCTTAAATGCAATCCAACGACCGAGATTAGAAGTATGTAACCAATCCTTAACTTAAATACTTATTGGAGAATGCCTAAATTATTGAAACAACTAGCTAAAATATTTGAAATGTAGTGTCAGTGACCATTTGGTCTAGTGATACCAGCAGGTGATAACAATAAACTTTTAAGGTGTTTTGAACTTGTTATGTACAGAAGAAGCAGAAAATTCAGATTTTTGTGTACCCCTGTACAGAGCTGCACTAAAAAATGACTGGAAAGCGGCAAAAGAGATCATAGGTAAAGAGCCGTCTATAGTGCGTGCCAATATCGCACAGGGATCGTATACTGCACTTCATGTTGCAGCCGGAGCAGGACATGTTCGCTTTGTGGAGAAGTTGATGGGTAAAATGGAGTTAAATGACTTGAGACTGTTAGACGAAAGAGGAAATACTGCTTTTTGTGTAGCTGCTGCCGTTGGATACGTTAAAATTGCTAAAATTATGATGCGAAAGGATCCAGGGCTGCCAAAACAACGGGGTTTTGAAGGACATACGCCACTCTATATTGCTGCTTTGTTTGGACATCAAAAGATGGCGTTGTATCTATATAAACCCGCATATAGAGATTCACAAGAAGATCTGCCCAGGCTATTTTTCACAAGCATAGATAGTGGTCTCTACGGTAAGTTCCAACGTTTCTGTCCCTCGCGTGGATTTTTAATTAGAATGGTATTTTTTTATATTCAATTTTATACAAATGATAGTCTAAAATTACTTTAAATTAATCTATGGTATTTTTTTAATTCAATTTTATACAAACGATAGTCTAAAATTACTTTAAATTAATCTAATTTAGGAAGTAAGTGATTCAAACTTGAGTGCAAAGAGACACGATCATTGTCTTTGGCCAATTGGCCTAAGCATCTTCAATTAATTGTATATATGCTTCCTTCAAATCCTACACCCCTCGCAAATACTTTCTTTCTCACTCTTCATTAACGTTGTCTCCTAATTTTTTTTTTCTTTTTAGATAGAAACAGCGTTTTTCTCTATTCATTTTTTGACAAAGCAATATTCTAACTATTTTAATGTATGAAAAAAAAAGGAATTAAATTGGAGTGCAATGAGGCGGGTATACTGCCTGCACAATTTGTCTAAACCACATGTTTTTTTTAATGACTAGATAGAGCCCACATACATTTAGAAATTATGAACTTTCAGAAATCATGTAAGACATGACCCTCACTACATTTTATCATTTTAAAATATAAGAAAGTAAAAGGAAATTGGTGTAAGAGAGGAAATGAATCAGGTAGAAGTAGAGCCAATTACCACTGGAGATGTTGACACATGCTATGCGGTAGGAGGGAGTTTGCGCCCAGGGATAAAAAATTAGGATGTGGATGAAAAAGTGGGTGAATAAAGAGCCCCCGTCCCCCAAAAAAAAAAAGAAAAAGAAAAAAGAATGGTGCTCGTCTATGACTGTTTTTATAGGAAGTGGGTATGCTCATAAATATTTTTATTAGAAGAACGTTTGTGATGGTGAATTTTTTATAAAATAATAAATAAATTGTACAGGGCTACAAAGGATATAAGATGGTAATGAATTAGTGATCGATATGCATTTGAAGTGAGGTAGAACTTTTTATTTTTACAAACTAGAGGATATTTTAGAAAAATATTTTTACAGCAAACACCCACAACAAAGTTTTCCATCACTATAAACATTTAAAATGAGGCAGAATTTTGAATAATATTCATTGTCAGTTAAAAATACATGCATCAAAATATCCCTAAATAATGTGGCATGCGCATATGAGTGCTTGCAGGTTTAGCCTTAAATTTGCTAAAAGATCATCCGGATTTTGCTTTAAAACGTGATCGTAATAGAAAGACAGCCTTGCATTTATTGGCCCAAAAGCCTTCATATCCACCGGAAAGTCCAGGAATACGTGCCTGCTTCAAAAGAATACGTGCCTACTTCAAAGAATGTGAGTTTATCATGTTCATTAATTTTGTTGGTCTCAATTAGATGCCTTAATAATTTTAAATTTGTCTAATTTTTTTGCAATGATGACCTATGAATGAAGACTTGAAAAATAGACGGTTTGGATTGTTGAAAAATATTTCGTAGGGTGCCTCTCAAATAAAATTTAAAATTATTTGAGGGATCCCTCAATGGAAAGAGACTGTGTATATATATCATGCATTGTGTTTCAATGATCCAAACCATCTAGTTTTTGGATATTTTCGAAGATCATCTCTATAAAAAATCACTTGAATCCGAGACCATTTGGCCACTCAATTAGATAGTTATTATTATAGTGTTTTCTTGAAGCACCTTGTTCGTCTATTTTGTTAGTCCCAACTAGGAGCCATGATTTTCAATTTGCGTCATTTTTTGCAAGGATGATCTATGAATGAAGACTTGAAAAATAGACGGTTTGAATTCTGGGAAAAAAAAAATTTAGGAGACCCTATTATTTGGGGGATCCCTCAACTAAAGCTCTCTCTCTCTCTCTCTCTATATATATATATATATGTGTGTGTGTGTGCACGCGTGCAAATTAGTGCCACCATTAAAAAAAAATCCATATTTTGTGCATCACGGAATTAAGCACTGACTTTCTTTCACGATCACTACTACTACAGATAAAAATCCAGAACAAGATTTAGTCAAACAACTTTGGCAGAAAGTTGCAACACTTGAAAAGGCAAAGCTAATTGATGTACTAACAAGTCCTTCGCATCTATTGTTTGACGCAATGGAAATAGGAAATTGCAAGTTTGTAGCTCAGCTTATTTACGAGTGTCCTGGTCTGATATGGGAAAGAAATAGCAAAGGATGGAGCATAATACATGCAGCAGTTTGGCATCGTCATGAGACTATCTTTAGTTTAATATATGAGGTAGGCATGGTCAAGAATGTGATAGCTACCTTTAAAGACAAGGAAGATGGGAGCACTTTACTTCATTTAGCTGCAAGATTAGCTCCGGTAAGTCAGCTGAACAAAATAGCTGGAGCAGGTTTTCAAATGCGACGTGAATTATTATGGTTTGAGGTACCTAACTACACGCACTCTCTCTCTCTCTCTCTCTCTTCTATTTTAATTAGGACACTGTTTCGCTTAATTATTACATATAAAGAGCCATACTCGGTGCCTCTGACATATGCAGAGTAGCTCATTAAGTTTCACCATGATCTTGATTTTACTTGTCTAGTTAACTAATTGAAATTGTATTTTGTATACATGTTAATATTGCAATTAAGCAACCAATCTGGCATATGCAGGAGGTGAAAAAGATTATTCAACCTTCTTATATACAGATGAAAAATTCAAAAGGCGAAACACCTCAAGAATTATTCACTTCTGAACATGAAGTGTTGTTACAAGATGGACAGAAATGGATGAACGGGACAGCACAATCATGTACAATCATTTCAACCCTCATCGCTAGTGCTTTATTTGCGGCAGAAGTTACTGTTATTATGGGAGATCATCTATTTAAAACGGCCCGGTTTCGAATTTTCATCATTTCAGATGCAATAGCATTTTTGTTGGCCTTAGCTGCAACGTTAACGTTCTCGGCCATCCTCACCTCACGCTATGCTGAAAGAGATTTTCTTAGTGCCTTATCATGGCGGTTGAAAATGGGACTCGCATTGCTCTTCTTTTCTATTACAGCCATGATGTTTACATTTAGCTCGGCTTTTTTTATTGCTTACGGTCGTAAGGACGTCTTCTCTATTCTCGTAACTGGATGTGCAGGTGTGCAAGTGCTTTTATTTGTTTTCCTGCAGTTTCCCCTTCTCTGGGACATATTTGCATCCACGTTCGCTTGTAAGTCTATATTTAAACAAAGTGAACCCGTGGTACTTTAATTAATAAGGAACTCAAGAATAAATGTACTTATATATGTTTTACTGCAGTTTCCCCTTCTGGAGGACATATTTGCATCCACGTTATTTGAACAAAGTGAACCCGTGGTACTTTAATTAATAAGGAACTCAAGAATAAATGTATTTAAATTTGTTTTCCCAGTATGTGTTTACTTGAATAAAATTTATTATCATCCTTCTGTAATGAATTTAACTAGACACTTGATGATCTGATAATGAAAGATTTCTCATCTCTAGCTTTTCTATGGAAGATTTTCTTTTTTACTTTTTCTCTAGTTTGTTTACAAACTAATTATAATACCAAACTATTTTAATGTATGAAAAAAAAGGAATTAATAAGTTCGAGTGCAATGAGGGGGGCATACTGCCTTGCACAATTTGTCTAAATCACATATGTTTTTTTTAATGACTAGATAGAGCCCACATACATTTGGAAATTCTATGAACTTTCAGAAATCATGTAAAACATGACCCTCACTACATTTTATCATTTTAAAATATAAGAAAGTAAAAGGAAATTGGTGTAAGAGAGGAAATGAATCAGGTAGAAGTAAATTTTTAATTAGAATGGTATTTTATTTATTCAATTTTATACAAACGATAGTCTAAAATTACTTTAAATTACGTTAAAAATTTGAATCTCTCATCCGAGGTCCAAAATTTGAATCTCTCATCCTTTACATACACAAATGTACACAATATTAATGGTGAATTTTTTATAAAATAATAAATAAATTGTACATGGCTACAAAGGATATAAGATGGTAATGAATTACTGATCGATATGCATTTGAAGTGAGGTAGAACTTTTTATTTTTACAAACTAGTGGATATTTTAGAAAAATACTTTTATAGCAAACACCCACAACAAAGTTATCCATCACTATAAACATTTAAAATGAGGCAGAATTTTGAATAATATTCATTGTTAGTTAAAAATATATGCATCAAAATATCTCTAAGTAATGTGGCATGCGCATATGAGTGCTTGCAGTCAAAATTGCTAGAAGATCATCCGGATTTTGCTTTAAAACGTAATCGTAATAGAAAGACAGCCTTGCATTTATTGGCCCAAAAGCCTTCATATCCACGGGGAAGTCCAGGAATACGTGCCTACTTCAAAATAATACGTGCCTACTTCAAAGGATGTGAGTTTATCATGTTCATTAATTTTGTTGGTCTCAATTAGATGCCTTAATAATTTTAAATTTGTCTAATTTTTTTTGTAATGATGACCTATGAATGAAGACTTGAAAAATAGACGGTTTGGATTGTTGAAAAATATTTCGTAGGGTGCCTCTCAAATCAAATTTAAAATTATTTGAGGGATCCCTCAATGGAAAGAGACTGTATATATATATATATCTCATGCATTGTGTTTCAATGATCCAAACCATCTAGTTTTTGGATATTTTCGAAGATCATCTCTATAAAAAATCACTTGAATCCGAGAGCATTTGGCCACTCAATTAGATAGTTATTATTATAGTGTTTTCTTGAAGCACCTTGTTCGTCTATTTTGTTAGTCCCAACTAGGAGCCATGATTTTCAATTTGCGTCATTTTTTGCAAGGATGATCTATGAATGAAGACTTGAAAAATAGAAGGTTTGGATTCTTGGAAAAAAATAAATTTAGGAGACCCTAAATGGTATTTATTTGGGGGATCCCTCAACTAAAGCTCTCTCTCTCTCTCTCTCTATATATATATATATATGTGTGTGTGTGTGCACGCGTGCAAATTAGTGCCACCATTAAAAAAAAATCCATATTTTGTGCATCACGGAATTAAGCACTGACTTTCTTTCACGATCACTACTACTACAGATAAAAATCCAGAACAAGATTTAGTCAAACAACTTTGGCAGAAAGTTGCAACACTTGAAAAGGCAAAGCTAATTGATGTACTAACAAGTCCTTCGCATCTATTGTTTGACGCAATGGAAATAGGAAATTGCAAGTTTGTAGCTCAGCTTATTTACGAGTGTCCTGGTCTGATATGGGAAAGAAATAGCAAAGGATGGAGCATAATACATGCAGCAGTTTGGCATCGTCATGAGACTATCTTTAGTTTAGTATATGAGGTAGGCATGGTCAAGAATGTGATAGCTACCTTTAAAGACAAGGAAGATGGGAGCACTTTACTTCGGGCCCAAGATGGGTGACCCACTGAGAAGTTGCTCGTGAGCTCCCAGAAACAAAACCGTGAGGGCAGAGAGGGGGGCCCAAAGCGGACAATATTGTGCTAGGGGAATCGGGTCGTGATGAATGGTATCAGAGCCGGACCCCGACTGGAAGTGTGCCAGCGAGTACGCTGGGCCTCAAGTGGGGTGGATTGTAAGACCCGTGTCTTGGGGGAAACAAGAATGGTGAGCAATCCCACATCGCTCGGGAAGGGAAAGGTGAAGTGCTTAAATGTGTGGGCACTTCTCTTCCTAGCACGAGGCCTTTTGGGAGCTCACTGGCTTTGGATTGGGGCCCAAGATGGGTGACCCACTGAGAAGTTGCTCGTGAGCTCCCAGAAACAAAACCGTGAGGGCAGAGAGGGGGGCCCAAAGCGGACAATATCGTGCTAGGGGAGTCGGGTCGTGACAGTTAAAACCTTGATAGGAAAAACCTAGTGGGACAAAACCTAGTCCAAGGGAAAAGAGTACAGCGCACATATGTCCTATATGTATAAAATTGTTGAATCCTCCCCCTGATGAGGACAAACTTGAATTATTTGAAGATACAACACAAATGATATTGATATCTCATTTTCCTCTGACAAAGCAAGCTTTGGTAATGCTTTGTATAAAAACTTCTTCAATATCATCACTGGAGGATGTATGTGTGTCATTCCTTTGAATCCCTGTTGAGGTTAGAGTAATACCAAAAATATCTAGACTATTTTCACAAATCCTTTCACATTAACAATTCTTAAAATAACATCATATTCTATAATACCATCAAAATAATAATATAAGCAAACTCATATGTTACCGTTACGAGGACAAGAGTATAAAATTGTATGATGTAATAAGCTATTCATATAAATTTTTGTATACTATGCTAGCATGTCATAGGCTCTTCAAGAGACCTAAATATTCTGATAACTTCTTTAAAAATTTGAATACGTTGCAATCATATTGAACTTGATCTTGAACTCATAATTCAATCAAAGTACTCACTGAGGCAATTAGATCACTTTCATTTCATGAAAATTGAGTATAGACATTGAGCTTCAGGCTCCTTAACTTCTTAGAGATTTTCTTTCAATAATTTATATAATGTATGAGGTTTTACATCTCTCAGAATTTATTCCTATGTATTCTTCAAAAGATCGCTTCTGGCGATATGCTTAACTTCATAATCTTTTTAGATTTTTCATCTCAAATTCCTTTATTAAATCAGGGGAAGCCTTTGTAAACTCTTCAAGAGTTCTAACAAAATTCTTCATATATATACTGAAATGATGGTAAACTCATTTCCAAATTATTTATATATCCCTTTTGTAATAGATATTCATTAAGATGATCATACCATATTCTTCCACAATACTTTAATCCACACAATGATCATTACAAGCCATCATATTTTAAATCATTTGCTTTAGGCATTCTGAATCCTTCAGGAATTTTTATACACATGAATTTTCCATAAATATGCATAACATAGCTGCATATGTTTACCATCATAATCCCATATCTTTACTGGGAAACGTTGTGCCATATCATCAAGTGATTTATTTCACTTCATCTCAAACACCAATTTGGAACATATACATTTTTATATCATTTTGGTGTTTTAACTATAGGTTCAATCATTGCACTTTTTCCGGAAATATTCAACTTTACTGGGCTGCCTATCCCAGTTGGCCAATCTTTATTTACATTTGTCGACAATTATAACAAGTGGTGCAATATCATCATGTATAGCCCTTGATAACTTTAGTATGTACTATAAACCAATATATCATCAATTCATGATCCCACGATTCTCATGTGCATCCGCATGCATAATTTATAAGTATCTCATTGCTTTCATTATTTTCTGGTACCAGTGCCACTTCAAAGGCTTTCATTGTCACTTCATGGACAAATATCTCTTCTAAGATGTATAATTTATAGAATGTGGATCATAACCTCTTCTAGAGTGTTATTTTGAGTAGGGCTTAAACTTTGCAATTAATCTCCTCTTCTGAGGAGTTAGGTCTTTTGAACCTATAGATCTGTCATGCTTCAGGCATCCAACAGCTTTTATGGGGAGTTCAATTTTTGCAATCTATAAATCTGTCATGCTTCTGGCATGCAACAAATTGGTTATTAGTAGTCACTAACTTTGTGTCTGTATTTGCTTAAGGTCATTTGGCTTACAATCCTTTTTGTGTTTGAATATGCTTCTGGCATTTATCTTTTATACCAATTTTTTTGATGAGAGAATAATAAATGTATTCCATAATCATTCACGTCGTTCTTTTGTTCTTTCAGGAACAACCAATTCTCCCCCTAACGACGGGAATTTTGGTCTCATCAAAATAATACCAAGAATGTCATAAGTATTGTCCTTCGGGGACCTTAATTCATGTCATAAGTATTGTCCTTCAAGAACCTTAATGCATTCTGTTAAGCTCATAATTTCATACATATACGTGCCCAATTTACTTACTTCTTTTGCTTAGTTTCCTATAATTCTGAGTTATTTGCCTCTATTTGTGTGTTTTGTAGGCCAAT